TCCACCCACCTCGGCCTCCCAAAGTGCTGGGATTACAGGCTTGAGCCACCGCGCCCGGCCTTACCTGCCCTTTCCTAATTGGTTTTCTACACTGTCATGCCCACCTTTGACTGGTATCTTCACTTTAACCGTTTTTACATACTCACAAAACAATCAGCATGCAGTCCCCATTCTAAGTCCACAAAAAGCCCCAGACCCAGCCACAAGGAGAGAGAAACCACCCCCACCCCTGCATCCCCTCTCTGCTGTGAGCTGTTCCTTCACTCAGTAAAATTCTCTACTCTCATCACCCTTCAATCATCCACGTAATCTCATTCTTTTTGTATGCTGGACAAAAGCTTGGGACCCATCAAGTGCAGGTACCCAGAAATCCTGTCACACTGGCCCTCTGCCCTTCTAGAAGGGCAGAGGGCCGGGGCCAACTGAGCTGCTAACACACCGACCATCCATGAGGCTGTGGACAGTAGAACTAAAAGGGCTGATTAGCACACTAACACCCTCTCTGGGAGGCTTCAGGGTCATGGGCATCCTTGCCTGGGCACCACCATGTTCCCCTTGAGGCAATACGCCTGGTGTGGCCGTGGACTCCGCATGGATCTTGCACTTACTTACATGCTCCATCCTGTAAGGGGCTGAGTGCAGCAAGCCAAGTAGATGGGGTGCCCCTGCTTTGAGTCCAGAAAAAAGGCTGAGAAAAATCCGGTGTCAGAGGATATAAACCACATTTATGACCTATTATCTCTGGGGCAAGGATTAGCAGAAAGGGGCTGGGTGCTGTGGCTCACACCTGTAATCCTAGCACTCTGGTGAGACTGAGGCAGGAGAATTGCTTGAGCATAGGAGTTCGAGACCCCTCCTGGGAAACATAATGAGACCTGGTCTCTACAAAAAATAAACAAAATTAGCCGGGTGTGGTGGCACACACTTGTGGTCCCAGCTACTTGGGAGGCTGAGATGGGAGGATTGCTTGAGCCCTGGTAAGTCGAGGCTTCAGCGAGCCAAGATCATGATACTGTTCTCTAGCATGGGTGACAGAGCAAGACCAGTCTAAAAAAAAAAGGGATTGGCAGAAAAGCCAAAAGAGAAATGTTGCTTTTTTCCCCTGGACTCTGGCCTCTAACTAGCTGTGTGATCCTGAGCAGGTTGTAGCACCTCTGAGCCTCAGGCTCCCCATCTATAAAATAGGGACACACTCGTAGCTACTTGATATATGGTTATAAGGATTAAGTGAGTTAGCATACATAAAACATGAATAGTAGTGCCTGCTACAATGTTGGAATTAAATTTATTTTCATTCTTCTGTGACCTTTCATGGTACTAAATAATCTGTCTTGGTCAGAAGTTGGGGAGAGTCTCCTCTCACTATTCCTTCAGCTGAGGAAAAGCTATAGAAAAAAAAAGTATAAAAGTCAAAAGTAAATAAGAAAACCATGCCCTGTGCGAGGGAGCCGCCACCATCCGCAGCCCACACTGAACGTGGCTGTGGCCCAGCAGAGCCCTGAGCTCCTGGGTGGGCCTCTCGTCACTTTTAAGAGTTCATGTAAAAAGATTTTTGAGTTTTAAAAAAAAAACCGCAAAGGATGATATTGGAGACAGAGGGTTAAGACAATGACACAAGGATAAAGACAAGCCTGTGGGTGGTGGAAAAGACTGAGCTGGGGGTGACTGGGTTGGGGGTAGAAGGGGAATCCAAGGTCCAGTACACCTAGGCTCTGAGAACAGAACCCAATTCTCATAGTTCATCAAATTTAAGATACACCACTGTAATATGCACCACTATTTTATGTCCGATTATGTACTGTTTTTTTGTTTGTTTGTTTTTGAGACAGAGTCTTATCTGTCACCAGACTGGAGTGCAGTGGCTTGATCTCAGCTCACTGCAACCTCCGCCTCCCAGGTTCAAGCGATTCTTCTGCCTCAGCCTCCGGAGTAGCTGAGACTATAGGCTCGTCCTACTACACCCAGCTAATTTTTGTATTTTTAGTAGAGACAATGTTTCACCATATTGGCCAGGATGGTCTCGATGTCCTGACCTCGTGATCTGCCCACCTCGGCCTCCCAAAATGCTGGGATTACAGGTGTGAGCCACCTCACCCGGTCCTATTATGTACTTTTTAAATGCTCCAATTAGCTTATTATGTCATTAACTATTACATGTATTCCAGTTTCAAAAATATTAAAAGGCAAACAAATTTGCATCATAGAATCGTTAAAATATGGGTCCCTAAGCACTGAAATTGGAAGCAATGCCCTTGCCCCAACTGTTTAAAATGTCACCGAACTGTAACATACATAAGCATAAGGGGGTTTTCTCCCCGATGATTACTTTGAAGTTTTATGAGGGAAAATGGCAAATGTCAAATTCTGTCCCTAAGCCATATCTCATCTCTTTTGTTCCTCTGTATGGGCTGAATCAGCCTGTTGGGTGACCCAGGCCTGCCCTGGGGGAGGGAGGAAATCCACACAACTGAGTCCTTTGAGCCTCTCCCCTGCCCTGAGTTCAGCAGCAGCTGGAAAAGCGCCCAGCTTTATGGGGGAACAATGGTGCCAGCCAGCTTCGGGTGAAGCAGGGCTGAAGAGCCTGGCCTGATCTGGCCTGGGTCCAGAAGAGTGTCCCTTGCACCTGGGGAGTCCACTCCACTTCATCAAAGGTCTGATGAAGCCAGGGAAAGTGGAAAAAGAACTCCCTGGGCTTTCTCAGTGGACGGCTCTCTGTATAGAATCCCAGAATCACCCAGCCAGAGAACCTCGGAGTCCATGGAATCAAACTGCTCCATTGTACAGATGGGAAAACAAAGGCCCCCAGAGAGCTGGAACTTGCCTAAAGTTCTTTGGTCACTGGCAAAGCTAGAGCCACGATCCAGGTTCCCTTTGATTCAGCAACTCTACTATTAAGTGCAAGTCTGTGTGATCTTTTGCGGCTTTTTGCTGTTTGTTTCCATGTTTTAGAAAATGCCCAAATTATGTTGCTTTGACAAAATGTCTGTTTGACACATCAGATAGTGTCTCACTCACCTGGGCATTGGAATGAGAAGCTCAGGATCTCAAGTATGGATGCCTCCAGGATAGGGAAGACCTGCCCCACTTCTTCAAGCTAATATTTACTATGGCATAGTAACTTCCTGGCTTCAAAGCCCACCTCTAACAAATTGGGCAAATTACTTATCCCCGTGGTAGTGGCCTCCAAGATGGTCCTCAAGGATTCTCTCTTCCTACGTAACCACCAGGCTACTGCAGAAACAGGTGTGACTTCTGAGGCTAGGTCAGAAAAGACAGTGCAAGGCTGGGCACAGTGGCTCATGCCTGTAATCCCAGCACTCTGGGAGGCCGAAGTGGGAGGATCCAGGAGTTTGAGATCAGCCCAGGCAACATGGCCATGTAGCCAGACCTCATTCTCTACTGAAAAAAGAGAAGAAGGGCTGGGCGCAGTGGCTCACGCCCGTAATCCCAACACTTTGGGAGGCCGAGGCGGGTGGATCACCAGAGGTTGAGAGTTCAAGACCAACCTGACCAACATGGAGAAACTCTGTCTCTAGAAAAAAAATACAAAATTAGCCGGGTGTGGTGGCAGATGCCTGTCATTCCAGCTACTCAGGAGGCTGAGACAGGAGAATTGCATGAACCCAGGAAGCGGAGGTTGTGGTGAGTCGAGATCAACCTACTTGGGAGGCTGAGGTGAGAGAATCACCTGAACCCAGGAAGTCGAGGTTGCAATGAGCTGAGATCATGCCACTGCATTCCAGCCCAGACAATAGAGTGAGAACCTGTCTCAAAAAATAAAAACAAACACAAAGACACTGCAGCTTCCATCTTGCTCTCTTGGATCACTTGCTCTTAGCTGCTATAAGCACACTCAAGCAGCCCAATGCAGTGACTCACATGCCAAGTAACTGAGACCACTTGCCAATAGCCAACTGCTTTGCCAACCATGAGCCTGGGCCCCCTTGAAACTGTATCCTCCAACCCCAGTCCATCTTCCAGATGACTGCAGACCTGGTCAATACCTGAAACCTTATGAGATGTTCCTGGTGAGAATCACTCAACAAATCAGCTCCTGAATTCCTTGCCTATAGAAAATATGTGAGTAATAAATGTTTATTGTTGTTTTAAGCTTTTAAGTTTTGGGATAATTCCTGACACAGCAACAGACAATGAATACCATCACTCTTTGTCTCCTTTTCTTTAAAATGAGGATGATGAGAGGATTTGCTTTATATAATCATGAGGATTCCATATGATTCATGAAAAGAATCTGGCTAAGCTGGGTGCAGTGGCTCATGCCTGTAATCCCAACACTTTGGGAGGCCGAGGTGGGTGGATCACAAGGTCAGAAGTTTGAGACCAGCCTGACCAACATGGTAAAACCCTGTTTCTACTAAAAATACAAAAATTAGCTGGGCATGGTGGCGGATGCCTGTAATACCAGCTACTCGGGAGGCTGAGGCAAGACAATCGCTTGAACCCGTGAGGTAGAGCTTGCAGCGAACTGAGACAGCGCCATTGCACTCTAGGCTGGGGGACAGAGCGAGACTTTGTCTCAAAAAAAAAAAAATACAAAAATTAGCCGGGCGTGGTGGTGTGTGCCTATAGTCCCAGTTACTAAGGAGGCTGAGATGGGAGGATCACTTGAGCCCTGGAAGTTGAGACTGCAGTGAGCTGTGATCCTGCCACTGCACTCCAGCCTAGGCCACAGAACAAGACCCTGTCCCAAAAAATAAATAAACCAATAAATAAAAACAAGAAGAGTCTGGCTCATAGCAAACACTCAGCAGATAGGGAATAATATTGCTATATTATTTTATAGTCTCCATTAATCAAAAGGAGAGGTTGAGAGCTATATGAGAAAGGGCCAAGAGGGAAGATGAAGTAGCAATCCCCAGTCTCTTCATTTTCCTGGCAATTCAGCTCTGACTACATTTTCATAGCACCTCCCAAGACAGAAGTCCCGTGGGGAACCTTGATCTCCCTAGAAGGCAGTATAGGGACTACTTATGACTCACCAGAAGTCCTCAGTCCTCACCATCCCCACCAGTGGAACTTACCAGGTAATCTCTTGTTTATCTACTAGGAGGCCCGATCAAGAGAATTCACTCCATCTCAGCAGTTCCCAGGGATGTTCCCAACCTCTGGAAGCTACCCAATGGAGTCTTCCTTTGCCTCTTAATCCATCTCTGAGAAGCAGGCTTATGTGTTAGCTCTGCTGGGCCAGGCACAGTGGCTCACACCTGTAATCCTAGCACTTTGGGGAGGATGAGGCAGGCAGATCACTTCAGGTCAGTGTTACAGAATATCCAGGAGACCGGAGAGACCCGTGGGTGAAACAGGAGGGTTTTATTAAGGTGACCACTGGCTCAGCGGATTAGCATCCCAAGCCTGAGCCCTGGAGAAAGAAAATGGGATACTTTTATACATCCAGGATGACATAGCAGCTAACAGGTTTATGGAAGTCAGAACAAAGAACAGTTAATTAATTTGCAACATATTTTCGAGAAACGCATTGTACATTCTTTGGGTGTATTCTTGCCCTGTGACCTTGCAGCTGGTCAGCAAGAGAAACTAGAGTCTTGAGATGCCTGGGAACTTTGCTGAGAATGTGGGGAGAATAGATAAGGTAGGTTTTACAGGGAGTTAATTTTAAGCAGAGCTGGGGGTTAGGTTTTATATTAAACAGCACACAACACAGCAAAATGTACTTTATTATATAGCAACTACAAATTATAAGGTTTTGTTTTTACTATTATTGCTATTATTTAATTCCCTTCTTCATCAGGAGTTCAAGACCAGCCTGACCAACCTGGGGAAACCCCATCTCCATTGGCCGGGCATAGTGATACACACCTGTAGTCCAGTTACTCAGGAGGCTGAGGTGATAGGATCACTAGAGCCCGAGAGGTGGAGATTGCAGTGAGCTGTGATCACGCCGCTATACTCTAGCCTGGGTAACAGAGTGAGACCCTGTCTCAAAAAAAAGACCTAAACAAAAATTTTAGCTCTGCTACTGATTTGTCCTTTGTCAAGTTACTCAATCAAGCCTTTGAGCCTCGTCTCCTCATCTGCCAAGCAGAAATAGCGAATGTTTGCTTACAGATTGTTGGGGGAAGAAAATGGGGCAAGACAGCAAGGTAAGAAAGCTTTGTTGGATGGAAATAATAAGCTGGCAATGGCTCCAGACTCTCAGGTGCTGCTTAGTGCCCTGCCCTGACTCAGGACGCTTCTCCCCACAGCTGAAGCGGCTTAGCTCTCACATGCAGGATCTGCCCTGTTCTGGGCTTGAGACCAACTTTGGTGTTTTGTTTTTGTTATTGTTTTTGAGATAGGGTCTTGTTCTGCCGCTCAGGCTGGAGTGCAGTGGTGTGATCTTGGCTCACTGCAACCACCACCTCCTGGGTTCAAATAATTCTCCTGCCTCAGCCTCCTGAGTAGCTGGGATTACAGGCACCTACCACCACACCCAGCTAATTTTTGTGTTTTTAGTAGAGACGGATTTCACCATGTTGGCCAGGCTGATCTTGAACTCCTAACTTCAAGTGATCCACCCACCGCGGCCTCCCAAAGCGTTGGGATTACAGGCATGAGCCACCATGCCCGACTAATTTTGTATTTTTAGTAGAGACAGTGTTTCTCCATGTTGGTCAGGTCTTGAACTCCCAACCTCAAGTGATCCACCCAACTCAGCCTCTAAAAAGTGCTGGGATTACAGGCATGAGCCACCGCATCTGGCTGACATTAAGATGTTTTAAACTCTGTGCCTTATTCCCCTGAAGTTAAAGTGACAGGATTTACCCTTCCATCTGAAGAAAACCAAAACCAAACAAACAAAAAACAGAAAAAATATATGAAACAACTGTTTTCAAGACACTGGAGACCGAAAGGTGGCTGGGCTCCATGCCTGTAATCCCAGCACTTTGGGAGGCTGATGCAGGTGGATCACAAGGTCAGGAGTTCAAGACCAGCCTGACCAACATGGTGAAACTCCATCTCTACTAAAAATACAAAAATTAGCTGAGTGTGGTGGCAGGCGCCTGTAATCTCAGCTACTCAGGAGGCTGAGGCAGGAGAATCACTTGAACCCAGGAGGCAGAGGTTGCAGTGAACCAAGATCGTGCCACTGCACTCCAGCCTGGGTGACAGAACTAGACTCTGTCTCAAAAAAAAAGAAAAACCTATGATTTCCCAAAACTGTTGTCTAGAAAGAGTTTTCAGACCATTGTTCAAGGAAGAAGAATCCAGGTACAGTCCAGCAGAGTCTGTTGGAGAGACAGAGCTAATAGTCTGGAGAGACCAATGAAGCTAGAGTTTGCAGGACAGATTGCAGAATAGGAGAGAGTTGTACAGAGAGTTCTCAAGAATTCAACTGGGTGGCTGGGTGCAGCAGCTCACGCCTGTAATCCCAGCCCTTTGGGAGCCCAAGCTGGGTGGATCACCTGAGGTCAGGAGTTTGAGACTAGCCTGATCAGCCAACATGGTGAAACCCCGACTCTACAAAAAATAAAAAATTAGCTGGGCATGGTGGTATGCACCTGTAGTCCCTGCTACTAGGGGCTGAGGCATGAGAATCGCTTGAATCCGGGAGTCAGGGGCTGAAGTGAGCGCAGATTGTGTCACTGCACTCCAATATGGGCAACAGAGCAAGACTCTGTCTCAAAAGAAAAAAAAAAAAGCCGGGCGCGGTGGCTCACACCTGTAATCCTAGCACTTTGGGAGGCTGAGATGGGTGGATCACCTGAGGTCAGGAGTTCAAGACCAGCCTGGCCATCATGGTGAAACCCCATCTTAAAAAAAAAAAAAAAAAAAAAAAGGCAAGACGTAAAAGGACCAAACTCTTTCCAAATTATTTAATTGATGGTTGGGCATAGTGCTGTGTCCCTGTAGTCCCAGCTACCTGGGAGGCTGAGGCAGCAGGATCACTTGAATTCAGTAATTAGAGGCTGCAGTGAACTCTAACTGGACCCTATAAATAGCCATAGCATTGTAGCCGAGGCAACAGAGCAATGCCTCATCTCTATAAATAAAAAGAAAAATAAATTAACTTCCTCCCTGAATAAACCTCAAGAATACTTATAAAATTACAAAAATGTTCAAAAAGCAACCAACAGGTAAATTTATAATGCCTGACATCCAATAAGAACACTTGCTAGTCATGCAAATCAGGAAATGATGAGAAAAGTTAATTAAAACCAACCCAGAACTGACATAGACATTAGAATTAGCAGACATGGACATTAAAACAGTTATCACTGGCCAGGCACAGTGGTTCACGCTTGTAATCTCAGTACTTTGGAAGGCCAAGGCAGGCAGATCACAAGGTCAGGAGTTCAAGACCAGCCTGTCCAATACCGTGAAACCCCATTTCTACTAGGAAATACAAAAATTAGCTGGGCATGGTGATGCACACCTGCAGTCCTAGCTACTTTGGAGGTAGAGGCAGGAGAATTGCTTGAATGAAGGAGGCAGAGAAGTGAGCCAAGATTGTGCCACTGTACTCCATCCAGTCTGGGCAACAGAGCTAGACTCCATCTCAAAAAAAAAAAAAGTAATCATAACTGTATTACATATCCAAAAAGTTAAGCAGACATGGAAGATATAAAAAAGAAGTCAGCAGGTGTGGTGGTTCACACCCATAATCCCAGGTCTTTGGGAGGCTGAGGCGGGTGGATCATGAGGTCAGGAGATCGAGACCATCCTGGCCAAGATGGTTAAACCCTGCCTCTACTAAAAATACAAAAATTAGCTGGGTGTCAGGGGAGGCACCTGTAGTCCCAGCTACTCAGGAGGCTGAGGCAGCAGAATTGCTTGAACCCAGGAGGCAGAGGTTGTAGTGAGCCGAGATCGCACCCTGCACTTCAGCTTGGGCTACAGAGTGAGACTCTGTCTCAGCAAAAAAAAAAAAAAAAAAAGTCAAACTTCCAGAGATGTGTGAGATGAAAAACACACTGGGTGAAATTAACAGATTAGGCATTACGGAAGAAAAGATTGGTGGACTTGAAGAATGGTATTGTTTGACGCTGCATCTCCACCCAAATTTCATGTTGAATTGTATCCTCCGTGTTGGAGGCGGGGCCTGGTGGAGGTAAATGCATCATGGGGGCGGACTTCCCCCTTACTGTTCTTGTAATAGTTAAGTTCTCACCAGATTTGGTTGTTTAAAAGTGTGTAGCACTTCCCTCTTTGCTTTCTGTCTCTCCTGCTCTGCCATGTGAAATGTGCCTGCCTCCCCTTCACCTTCTGCCATGATTATAAGTCTCCGGAGGCCTCCCCAGCTATGCTTCCTGGACAGCCTACAGAACTGTGAGTCCATTAAATGTCTTTTTATAAATTACCCAGTCTTAGGTAGTTCTTTATATCAATACAAGAATGAACTAATACAAAGATGTAGCAATGGAAACTATCCAAAATGAAGTACAGAAGAGAATTTTAAAATAATTAATAAAGCATCACTGAGCTATGGGATAACTTAAAGTGGCCTAATACATGTGTCACTGGGGCCTCTAAAGGAGTAGAGGTTGGGACAGAAAAATTATTGGAAGAAATAATGACTGAAAATGTCTAAATGTGATTTTAAAAATGATAAACCGGCCAGGTGCGGTGACTAATGCCTGTAATCCCAGCACTTTCGGAGGACAAAGCAGGTGAGTCGCTTGAGGTCAGGAATTTGAGATCAACCTGGCCAACATGGCAAAAACCCAACTCTACTAAAAATACAAAAATTAGCTGGGTGTAGTGGCACACACCTGTAATCCCAGCTACTTGGGAGGCTGAGGCATGAGATTTGCTTGAACCTGGGAAGCAGAAATTGTAGTGAGCTGAGATCACACCACTGCACTCCAGCCTGGGCAACAGAGCAAGACTCCATCTCAAAATAGAATAAATTATAAACCCACAGATCTAAGAAGCCAAACAAACCTCAACCACAGGAAACATGAAAATGACACCAACACATGTCAAAATCTAATTGCTCCAGGAGGCTGAGGCAGGAGAATTGCCTGAACCCAGGAGACGGAGGTTGCGGTGAGCCGAGATTGC